AGTCAAGTGCCTTAGGCACTATGCTACCAGAGCTCCTTCAAAACTGGTTACAGAAGTATATTTGACAGAGAACTTCCAGAAATGCAAGCAGATTCAGAAGGAGACGTGGAGCAAGGGATATTATAGCTGATGTCAGATGCATCTTAGCTGAAAGCAAAGAATACCAGAAAGATGTTTACTTGTGTTTTACTGGCTATGCAAAGGCATTTGATTGTGTGGATAACAAATTATGGATAACATTGAAAAGAATGGGAATTCCAGAATATTTAATTGTACTCATGAGGAACCTATACATAGACCAAGAGGCTGTCATTCAAACAGAACAAGGGGACACTGCATGGTTTAAAATCAAGAAGGGAACGTTCAAGGTTGTATCCTTTCACCATACTTACTCAATCCGTATGCTGAGCAAATAATCCAAGAAGCTGCACTGTATGAAAAAGAATGTGACATCAGGATTGGAGGAAGACTTATTAACAACCTGCGATACACTGACGACACAACTGAAAGTGAGGATGACTTGAAGCACCTACTGATGAAGATAGAAGAATACAGCCTGCAGTATAGATTACACATCAATATAAAGAAAGCAAAAATCCTCAACTCTGGACCAATAAGCAGCATCACAATAAATGGACAAAAGACTGCTGTCAAAGACTTTGTATTACTTGGTTCTACAATCAACACCAATGGAAGCACCAGTCAAGATATCAGATGACCTACAGCATTGGGCACATTGGCTACAAAAGACCTCTTTCAAGTGCTGAAGAGCTAAGATATATCCTTCAGGACTAAGATGCAACTGACACAAGCCATGGTATTTTCTGTCACCTCATATGCATGTGAGAGCTGGACAATGAATAAGGAAGACAAAAGAAGAATCGATGCTTTTGAGTTGCGGTGCTGGCGAAGAATGCTGAAAGCACCACAGACTGCTAAACTAACAAATCTGCCCTGGAACTAGTACAGCCTGAATGCTCCTTGGAAGCGAGAATGGCCAGACTTCATCTCACCTACTTTGGTCATGTTGTAAGAAGGGATCACTCCCTGGAGAAGGATATCATGCTTGGTAAAGTGGAGGATCAACGCAAGAGGGGAAGGCCGTCAGCAAGATGAACTGACACAGCGGCTACAATGATGGGCTCAGGTATAGCAAAGATTGTGGAGCTGGCACAGGACAGTGTTTCATTCTGCTGTGCGTGGGGTCACTGTGAGTCAGAGATGACTTGACAGCACCTGACAACAACAACAAGCAACAGGAGCGTTTTAAGCAGAAGAATGATATGATCTGACTTCATTCTTCCTCTTCATTCCTGCATGGCTCATACCATCACCGCTTCCTTTATTCTGAGAGATATTCCCTGGTCATCCCACCAAAAATTAAAACTTTTTTTCTCCGCTCTATTTTCTTCTTAGCACTTAATCACATTTGACATATTATAGCATTTTATTCTTTGATCTTATTAACCAGTTCCCCCTGCTAGAATACAAGTTCTACAAGGGCAGAGATTTTTGTCTGGTTTGGTAAGTGTTGTGTCCTTAGTGCCCAAAACAGTATCTAGTACATGGAAGATGCTTGGTAACTATTTGTCAAATGTATGAAATAAAAGTTTTTAAAAATATTTTGATTGCTGTGCACAAAATAGAGGGTAGCAAGTGTAGAGGAGCCTAATATAATACTCCAGGCAAAAAATTATTGGACTATAGTCTTATTATTTGCCTCAACCAGAGGTGAGGCTTATTATGTTGTTATGTGTCATCGAGTCGGGCCCGACTCATAACAACCCCTCCTTCGGTTTCCGAGGCAGTATCACTACAGAAGTAGATTGCCCCATCTTCCTTCCGAGGAGTGGCTGGTGGGTTTGAACCACCAGCCTTCTGGTTAGCAGTCAAGTGCCTTAGCCACTATGCTACCAGAGCTCCCAGAGGTGAGGCAAGAGGACAGTTTTCAGGATATATTTTGGAAGTGGAGCTGACAAGGCTGCTGCTGATGAACTGGATATGGAGAGAAGGAAGACAAAGACATATGACTCTGACTTGAGCAAGGGTGATAACATTTACTGAGACATAGAACACTGAGGCTAATAAATTGTGCATTGGAGATGGAGAGGAAGGATGTGGGAACAAGCATTCTGTTCTTCCATCTTCCACTGTAGTGACTGACCCTCACATTGACACTCCTCAGATTTGAAAATCTTAATAGTCAGTCATAAGTCAATCACCTATGATCAGAGTACCCAGAGCACCTGGATGCATGTTAGAGAACACTAAGGTGTTTCCTTAAGAGGAAACACAAACTTTGTCACCAGATTAAAAAGTTTGGAGAACTGAACATAAGATTAAATCCTACATCAGAGGCTCTACTAGAGTAGGGTTACCATGAAAGGTCTAGGTTACGTATAAGCTAAACTTCATAACCTCACATGCTACCCCTCTAGCAGCAAAACGTACTGGTTAAAAAATCCTGGGCTTTGGAAACCAGGCAGATCTGAATTGAAATCACAGCTCCACCACTTAACTCTGTCAACTTGGTCAAGTTATTAAACTTCTGAGTTCCCTCAGCTATACAGTAAGGAATAATACTGTACAGTAAGGAATAATATTGTCTCACTTTACAGAGTTGCCAGTATGAAAAGAGAATGTATAGTGATGGTCTAGGCATTCATTCTTGCCATACAACTCAATAAACGGTGGAAGTTATTGCAATGACTGTGGTTATGCACCCTGTATTTCAGAGAAGCAGCTCCAATTTAGGTGCCTAACATTTTCCACTGTAGGTCTCTACCCTGGTGCGACTCGAGCATTCCTACCTCTCCACAAAGACATTTCAGATTCTTTTCTAACACCTAGGGGACAGCTGAGGTCTAAGAGAATTGATTCAAAATCCCAGAACTCTGAGGAAACGTCAACTAACCAAAACACACCAGGCACACGGTTTGCACGAAATCCCCCGGCCCGTGGCAAACTTTTCCACACCTCACCCCGCGTGAGAGAAACATCCTATTCCAAGGAAATGGAGCACTCCCTCCCGACGGGGCGTCCGTGCGGGGCCCGAGTCCGTCATTGTGTAAATGAAGCTCCAGGGACTGACAAGGAGCCTCCAGCGTCGCTGAGGGAGACCGTAGCGGGGACGGGCCTTCAATTTTCAGACCCTGGCCTGAAGGCCTCGGAGCGCCCTGGCTACAGGCGTTTCTGGAAGCTAGAACCCCGGACGCCGAATTATGAGGGGAAGAATCCCGGCTGAAGGGTGGAATTACCCGGCTGCCGCTGTCGCCTGGATGGTCTCCGCGACTGTCCCGGGCGAAGTCGCCGCGGGACTCCCCACGGCTGCTGCCTCTGAAGCCGGCTGGGCCCGGCGGGAAGAGTCGTCGGCTCCGCAGCGGCGACGGGGAGCCGCGACGGGCCCGCGGCGGGGAAGGGGAACCGCGGCGACCCCGTGGCGGGGACGGCGAAGCTCGGCGGCCGCGGGG